TGAGGAACATCTGTAATACATTCAACAATAAAGATAAAATAAAAATTAAATTAAAAAATGTGTTAATTATCTTGATCTTGGTAATTATTCTACAGCACAGGGTGGGGTAAAAGTAGGTTTCAGTTGTTTGTATGAAAAATAATACAATAATTAATAAATAATAATACAAGAATAAACTCTGTTTTTCGTGTACTCACAACTGTAAAAGTACTTTTATCCTACCCTGTATATATGTATACCAAATCATCACAGTGTGTACTTCAAATATATACAATTATATTGGTCAATGATTCTTCATAAAGTTAAAAAGCCAAGTATATCATCCATTTAGACATCTAAACAAAGAAACGTTTAGGTGAGACATTAATCTAAAAACCTTGATTTCTAATGTAGGCGTGACACATTTTCAAACTGTGCCATGAATTAAGACCATTTCTATCAAAAGGAAAATAACATTGATTTTTTTAAAGATTACACAAGTAAATGTAGCAAATTCTATGAGAGGAATTGAAAGTAAAAGTTTTAATTTTTTTATTTCCATTGCTTTGAAATAGTATGCAAATAACGGATCCATATCTTTATTTCACTGACTCTTTTTCTTGAAAAAGTAATTTAAACAACATATTAAATCTCTCAGGCTAACCAATTAATCTGAAGTATAAATTACAGTGCTCTTTTCATATTCAATACACATATACTCATATCAAGCACAAAACAATACTCAAATTGCAAGTAATGGTAATCAAACACAGTGTTTATTTGAATGGTTTATTTTAACAGGTAGAAAATGTTTTCATTATTACAAAACTTTTCCTATTTGTCTTACCACCTAAGGAGTAATTTTCAACAATATATTATTCATAATCAAAAATTGATCTATGATAAGCTAATATGTATATACAATGGTTAAAAGCATAGTCTTTGAAGCCAGGAAATTTTGTTTCATATTCAGCTATACCATTTGTCAGTCATGCACTTCAAGGTAAATAGTTTTACATCTCTGAGCATCAGTTTCCAGACCTACAGAGAGATATATAATACCTCAGAAGGTTTTGTGAGTATTAAATGAGATAAACTGTATATATCACTTATAACAGTGTCTGGAAAGCAATAAGTAAATGATCGTTTTTATTATCTTTTGTACTTAATATTCCTTTTGTTATTAATGTTAAATTTTTATTTAAATATAAAAATATTTACATTAATCTTAAAATCTCAGTTTATGAAGATTTTGTTCATTATCTATCCTCTCTCATTTATACACACATACACATATATCCTTATTATATGACTGATAGTACACTAGATGCTGGAAAAAAATTAGTAAGAAACTATCCCTCACTTCAAGGAACTTTTAGTAATAAGGAAAAAGGAAGACAATTAAATGACTGCAATGCAATAGGGGCTATCATAGGGGAGCCTCAGAGGTGCCTGTAAGTACAGAGATAAAGACAAACCTGCCTGAGATGTACTGTTGCTCAGAGGAAAAAATGCTGCACTGAGTCTGAATTAACATTTTACCAGGCAGAGAAAGGGATCTGGGGCACAGAGAAAACAGCATCTGCAATGGTATGAAAACTTCAGAGAAGTCGGTAGATTAGGGAATAAAAAGCAATTAAATATGACTTTTTCATCAAAGCTATCAGAAAGTTAATCTTTCCCTATCTTTCTGTAGCTCATATTATTCAACAAATAAATACATTGTTAATTTAGTGCTTTATTTTGCAAATACTCTGCTTGGTCCTGTGGAAGAACAGGGATTAATCAAACTCAGATTCTATCCTGAAGCCAGTTAGTAATAGAAGAGAATAAAAGAAGTATTTTTTTAAATCATAAAAAGTGTCAAATGTCTCTAGAGAAATCAAATTAGATGGTGTGGCTGTTTTCCCAAGGGAAATATACTTATAGTGAAGTGTATATGAAAAAAAATCAGATCAGGGATTGATAGAAAAGTTCATCTTTGACCTGCAAACCTTATTTCTCATAATAAAAACATTAATTAGCCTTGGCCGGTTTGGCTCAGCAGTTGGAGCATGGGTCCGCGGACCAAAGAGTCTTGGGTTTGATTCCGGTCAAGGGCACATACCTCAGTTGTGGTTTGGTCCCTGGCTCTGCAGGGTCAGGATCCTGAGGGAGGCAACCAAACGATGTGACGATGTGTCTCTCTCACACCGATTATTTCTCTCTCTCTCTCTCTCTCTCTATCTCTATCTCTATCTCTATCTCTATCTCTCTCTCTCCCTACCTCCTTCCCTCCCTCTCTTCCTCTCTGTCTGAAGATAAATTGGAAAAATATCCTTGGGTAAGGATTTAAAAAATAAAAATAAGTAAAACATTAATTATCCACAGCTCAGAACCAGGCAATTTGCTAGGCACTTTACATCTTCCACAAGTCTGAAAGGAAAAAAAAATATTTATGGAGGCTTATCTTAGTGAATAGACTTTGTCCACATGAATCAATACTCCCATTCATTTACTCTATTAATCGCCTAACTCCTTCTCAGTAAGTCTGGAAACACCTACAGAATCCTTTTCAACAAGCATACCAGCAAGCCACAGCCAGTAGTTCAGAGTTAGCCCATAAGATAAAAGCCCCCTGACTTCCCTGTTTTAAATAATTTGAAATAAATCCTTGAATTATCCAGTGTCACTCCCAATAAATTCAATAAAATGGAAAAATAAATAAGTAAATAAATAAATAAGATAAAATGAAGACCGCATATGTCAAACAAATTATTTCAACTGGTAACTGAATTGCTTTCACTAAAATGTCCTTTAGCATTAACCCTCATCCTACACTGCAAGATGGTACAAAATACACCCCTATGAAACATACTATTGTAAAGACCACAGGGATATTGTTGAGGATGCTGTTCATCACATTTCAGTATGTGCTTTAGGAAGCCCATTATGAAGAGTTTCTATCAGATTTCAGTACCTGGTTTATTTTTATCTTATACACTTTGTTTATCTCTTTGCACTGGCTGCCAGAAATCTTACAGTTAAATTTGTAATCTACATATAGAAAATTTATGGATCTCATAGCATACATTTTATGTATTCATCCAGCTAAATTTTTTTCTGCTATTCCCCTTTCTGAGATCTCCTCATTTATCTGTCTTTGAATAGTATCATTATTATTATTTTGAATATATTTTAGTAAAATGGCTTAATTTTTTAAACAATGAAATAATATATATTTTATTTTTCTTTAATTAAGATATAAAGTAGGCATCATTCACCATTAAAAGATGAGGAAACCATGGCTCAGTATTCAAGTCAGGATTTGAACTGCAATCTGATTCAGGAAGGTGTCACTTAACCACTCAGCATGCTACCAAGACATATGAACTGCTAAGACAGACCCAGTTGATACAACCACCTGTTCATACATTTGGGGGGAAATACGCATTATTCACTTAGTTACTATGTGGTCAGATGAGCAATTTTTAGATGTAAGGGGTGGAAAAAATGAGTATAGTTAAGGAAAAGGTATTCTAGGAAAGGAATCTGGAGTATTTCATACTATAGGTAAACCAAAACAATACAATCTTAAAATAAGGATAATTTCTATTCTCACAGAGTTATTATTATAAAAAGCCCTCATTCCTTAACCTAAAGAAAAAAATTCTAAAGGTATTTTCTAGGCACCAAGTAAATCCTGGACAAGGTAACAGATTCAAAGAATGTAGAAAACATTGTTCCTAACATTGTGGACAGTGTTCATATCTAACTGGAAGGAACACTACAATTCTGTGCTACAAGATGAATTCTATCTTCCAAAACCTCATATGTTGAAATCCTAACTCCAGTACCTCAGAATGCAACCTTACTATGAGATAGGGTCTCTAAAGAGGTAATCAACTTAAAATAGGGTCACTAGAGTGGGCCCTAATTCAATATGACTGGTGTCTTTATTTAAAAAAGAGAAGGGGTATTTAGAGACAGTCATACACACAAAGAATGCCAAGTGAAAATGAAGGCAAAGATCAAGGTGATGCTTCTACAAACCAAGGAACGATAAAGATTGCTAGCAAACTACCAGAAGCTAGAGAAGAGGCATGGAACAGATTTATCCTCAAAACCCTTAAAATGAACCAACTCTGCCAAACATGGATCTCAGAACTGTGAGAAATAAATTTGTTGTTTAAGCCACTCAGTTTGTGGCTTTGTTATAGTAGCTCTAGCAAACTAAAACAACATGAAATAAACAAAGAGCAAACCTCTAGATAAACAAGTTCTCAATTGTTGATATAAACAACCAATGTTCTTGGAATTCAGAGAGCTGGCATATCCCTTCAAACACACACATGCACACGTGCATGCACATTATTCAAAAATAAAAACAAAATAATTATTTTAAAGATAAAATTATGTTCCTTTTCTCTCTTAATATTTTCAACATATTCTGAATAAAGAAGCATATGAGGTTCGGGGCATAAACAATTTAACAAGATCCAATCCCTCCTGGATGGGAATTCACAATCAAGGCCTGATCTCTCCTTTTATAATACCCAATAGCATTTGTTGATTATGATGCAATATTACTTTTGCTGTTTTATTTGTGTTCAACTGAATCTATCTTCTCATCATTTCTTTATAGGGAAGCCTCCTGTCTCACAAAAATTAAGTCCTGTGAGGATATCATACAGGACCAGATACATAATAAACATTCTATAACTGATCTATCATACAGTCAAATTATATCAGTTTTATTCAAACAAATAATATCTAGGTAACTGCTTTACAAAATATAAGGTACTATACAAATGCTCACCAGTATTACCATTATACTTCTAATAATTTATAGCAACAAAAACATCACACTTCATTTTATGTATTTTCAAGTTAATCCCATCAAAATTGATTTTTCCCTGACAACTTGTTTCATACTGATGAAATATTAAATTAGTTGAATCACACTGAATGGTTAAGTGGAAATGGATTCTAAAAAACTCTCACCAGAAAAGCTCAAAATCAAAGGCCTTTGATACACTCACCACTTTCAAAGCAAGCATCAAAGATAAGATGTCCTTTCTTGGGCTGTCCACAGTATCCAGCTGGAAGCACCATATATTTGCTCACATTCCCTCCGATGACATCATCCTTTCCCATATCACTGCCTATTTTTAAAAAAAAAATTAGCCCATATTAAACAGAAATCAAAATGTACTCAGTAACAGAAGTCTAATTCGATTTTTATCATTAATTTCCCCCTCCCCTGTCCTTTTGTGCTAATCTTAGCAGTAATAAATTAACTACAGCCCTGGCCGGTTTGGCTCAGCGGTTAGAGTGTCCGCCTGCGGTCCAGAGAGGCCCGGGTTCGGTTCCCGCTAAGGGCATGTACCTCGGTTGCAGTTTGTCCCCGGCCCTGGTTGGTTGTGCGGGTGGCAGCCACTCGATGTGTCCCTTTCACATCGATGTTTCCCTCTCTCTCTCTTCCTCTTTCTCCCTCCCACTCTGTCTGTACAAAAAATGGAAAAATGTCCTCGGATGAGGATTTAAAAAAAAAAAAAAAATTAACTACATATTGTAGTAGAGTACAAAGAAAATGCATTTTGAAATCAGAAAGATAAGGGCTCAAATCTCATCTGTACTATATACTAATTCTCTGTAATGCAATCAACTTAATTCCTTTAAGTCTTAGTTTCTCTCATCCATAAAAAAGGGCATAGTAAAATCCATGTTTCAATATTTTGTTGAGAATTATATTAAAAACATCTAGTATGGCTACTGAAATCCAAAAAATGCTCATTAAATTGCATCAATTATTTAGTAATAATATGTTTAACTTGTCACAAATATATAGTGACATTATTTTGATTTTTTTTTTAAAAAGCAATAGTTCTATAACTAGCATTATAATTACCTAATGTTTCACCACCAGAAATAATTTGAGAACCACTGAAATAGCACAGAAGTTATATTTCCTACCAGGAACTTTAATTTTTAAAAGTTTTATAAGTGTCATTTCCACATAAGCTGTGAAAGCTGGAAAGATCTTTGCTTTCACCTTAACAAGAAATATCCAAATAAAGAACAAAATCATAACTTTTAAAAATCTATCAGAAAACTGAGATTGTAGGGCAATCAATAACCTGTATCTAAGGAAAGTCAGGCCCCATCAAAAGATGATGGGAAGTAAACACTGATCTTCTATGGCACAGCACAGAAGGAAGAAAAGCTGGGTGTCATACAAGTGGATAAAATTAAGCCAAATTTTTCAAAAATTATTAAAGGTCAAGTGTAGAACTCCTAAGAGTCATGGCACAAAAGTGAATTCACATCCACTGGCAGACTCCTGTACAGGCCTCCATTAGGTGTTTAGGAGAATATTAGGGGAAAGGCAGAAGACTAGAAAATACCTTTCTTTGTAATGCAGGCCTAGAGAAGAAGAGTAGCTTCTAGTCAAGAAAAGGCATGAATTCCTACCAACATCCATTTCCCTAAGGAAATAAAGGTCCTAAGCAACTAAGGGAGAAGTAACAAAATACCTTGTTCATAAATTGAAGCACATACTTTGTTCATGGATTGCAAGAATTAAAATGTCCATATTACCCAAAGCAATATACAGATTCAATACACTCCCTATTAGAATATCAACGACATATTTCATGGAACTAGAATGAATACTCCAAGAGTTTATATGGAACCAAAAAGACCCCAAATAGCCACAGTAATCTTGAAAAAGAAGAACAAAGTAAGAAGGATCACAATACCAGATATCAAGTTATACTACAAAGCCATTGTAATCAAAACAGCCTGGTACTGGCATAAGAACAGGCATATAGATCAATGGAACAGAACAGAAAACCCAGAAATTGACCCAAGACATTATGCTCAATTACTATTTGACAAAGGTGGCAAGAGCATAAAATAGACTAAAGACAGCCACTTTAATAAATGATGTTGGAAAAATTGAACAGCTACATGCAAAAAAATGAAGCTAGACCACCAAATTATACCATACACAAGAATAAACTCAAAATGGATAAAAGACTTAAATGTGACTTGTGAATCCATAAAAATCCTAGAAGAAAATGTAGGCAACAAAACTTCAGATATCACATGCAGCAGAATTTTCACTGATACAATGCCTAAGGCAAGAGAAACAAAGGAAAAAATTAATACATGGGACTACATCAAACTAAAAACTTCTGCACAGCAAAAGAAACAAGCAAAAAAAATGGAAAGGGAACCCTCTGTATGGGAGAGAATAATAGCCAATGATACATCAGATAAGAAGTTAATCTCCAAAATATATAGAGTAATCATGTATCAACAAACGGAAGACAACAAATCCAATTAAAAATGGGCAAAGGATCTAAATAGACACCTCTCCAAATAGGACACACAAATGGCTAAGAGAAATATGAAAAAATGCTCAACATCACTAATCATCAGAGAGATGCAAATTATAACTATGAGGTATCACACCTATTAGAATGGCTGCCATCAACAAATCATCACACAAGTGCTGGTGAGGGTGAGGAGAAAAGGGGACTCTAGTACACTTCTGGTGGGAATGCAGATCAGTGCAGCCACTATGAATAACAATATGGTGTTTCCTCAAAAAATTAAAATTGATCTGCCATTTGACCCAGTGATCCCACTTCTAGGAATATATCCTAAGAAGCCTGAAACACCGATCAGAAAGAATACATGTACCTCTATATTCATGGCAACACTATTTACAATTGATAAGATCTAGAAACAGCCCAAGTATCCATCAATAGATTGAGTGGATAAAAAAGCGGTGGTACATATACACAATGGAGTACTATGCAGCTATAAGAAACAAAGATGTTTTATCCTTTGAGACAACATGGAGGGAACTGGAGAGTATTATGCTAAGCGAAATAAGCCAATCAGAGAAAGACAAATATCACATGATCTCATTTATTTGTGGAATATAATGAACAAAATAGACCCAGAGACATAGAAGTAGGATACAGACTAACAAACCTCAGAAGAGGGGGGCGGGTTGAGGGAAAAGATAAACCAAAGAACTTATATGCATGTATGCATAACCAATGGACACAGACAACAATGCCGGGGGTGGGGGATGGGGGGATCAAGAGAGGGTGTCAATGGGGGGGAAAGGAGAAACATCTATAACAAAAATAAATTAATAAAATCAAAAACAAATAAATAAAATGCAATCTAGCAAAAAAAATTTAATTATATAAAGTATAAGGGAGGATTCTAAAAAGGAAGGGAATAATTTAAACTGAAATTCATAAAGAATATCTTAGTGAAAGTCTTTTCTTTGAAGTAAACACTGAATAGTGTAAATTCCAGTTAAATTACACACTATAAAATATTCTTATTATAGTGTGTAAAATATTGTCTTCAAACATAGAGAAAGAATAACACAATTAATTTTTCCAATTTAAGGAAGTTAGAAACAAAAGAGAAAACAGCTGAGATTTATCTTTAAGGAAATAAAGATATAATCCTATTAATGTTAGCATTTATATCTTTTAAAAAATACTACATAAATAACAAATATTTAGCAATAAAATTATAACCATACTTTGTGGAGGAAAAAACAAAGAATTATTTATATCTATAGAGGTACCTAATGTAACAATATGATAATTATATCTTATTTTATTCTGATAAATAGGCCTGCTGAGGCATCTACAAATAGACTTTAAGGTTGCACAGAGCTTTTGACATTTAAGTGGTTATGCTGATGATGGATGTGACAAAAGTTTCAATTTGTTTTATTTTTACATGGAAAACTACTTTATACCAACGTTACAAGCAATCCATACTGATCAAAAACAAGGAAAACAACTTATTAATTAAAACTGACCTTTATATAGAGCATGTATTCTACCTCTTGGACTAAAACACCTTAGAAGTAACAAATTACCTCTATGTATAAGTGGCACACAGTTAAAGGGGATCTGTGAAAAGATCCATTATAAAGCCATATTTCCCAGGATTCATACTTTTGAGAGAAAATTACACTGAAGGTGAGACTTAACCCACAAATTCTCAGCCAAGAAAATAAATCCAAAATTTCTACTGGAGGGTGTTTTAGGAAAGATAATCTATTGATTTGTAGACTTTAATCTCAGTCAACTAGTACCCACTACACAGCTTTTTCCTAGCATTTTATAAAATTGTACCATGTTTGTTCCAATTACAAATATATTTACAAGATATACTACAAGGACTAAAACAACAAAAACTTTTTAAAAAATAATTTCCCAAATACATATATCCTATTTCTCCCTAGGCACATATATCTATAATACAAATAAGATGTCTAGATTTCTTGAGCTACAATCAATCACAGGATGTTTCAATGGCCAAATATTGAAGATCTATTTTTGCACCCACCCTATCTTGTGCCAGAACTAAGAAGAATATATAAGAAAAATGAGCTATAAATCAACCTATCACTCAGTAAAAGATTAAGGATATACTAGTAATATACTCTCAAAAAGCTGACCATCTAGCCCTGGCCAGTTTGGCTCAGCGGTTAGAGCGTCGGCCTGCGGTCCGGAGAGACCCAGGTTCGGTTCCCGCTAAGGGCATGTACTGCGGTTGCAGTTTGTCCCCGGTCCTGGTTGGTCGTGCGGGTGGCAGCCACTCGATGTGTCCCTTCACGTCGATGTTTCTCTCTCTCTCCCTTCCTCTCTCTCCCTCCCACTCTATCTGTACAAAAAAATGGAAAAATATCCTCGGGTGAGGATAAAAAAAAAAAAAAAAAAGCTGACCATCTAAATAAGAATATACTGAAAATTAATAAAATATATACTTAAAAATTATATTTCTCTAAGAAGGGAAAACACTACAGACAGTACAGTTTGGTGCCATGGGGTTTGGAGAAATATGGGTCTAAGGTTGATACTTGCTTGGCTTTTTAAATGTATGACCATGAATGAGCCCCAATTCAGCATGCTATGGTCTTGGATTTCTCCATTTTCATCCTACACCCTTTCAGAAGAAATTGTTGGCCCATTTTTTTCCTGAAAGAATAGTTTGCATCTTTTCCTAACACTTTGCAGTAAATGATCTCCCACCCTTGATAATACCAAGACTCTGCTTATACCTATTCTGGGTTGTATTATAACTAATTGCATATACCTTAATGCTTATTTCCCATTTAAACACTAGCCCTGGCTGGTTTGGCTCAGCGGTTAGAGCATCGACCCATGGACCAGAGAGTCCCAGGTTTGGTTCCTGCTAAGGGCACGTACCTTGGTTGCAGTTTGTCCTCAGCCCCGGTTGGAGTTGTGTGGGTGGCAGCCAGTCGATGTGTCTCTCTCAGGTAGATGTTTCTCTCTCTCTCTCTTCCTTCCTCTCTCCCTCCCACTCTATCTAAAGATAAATGCAAAAATGTCCTTGGGTGAGGATAAAAAATAAATAAATAAAATAAACACTAATTTCCACTTGTGTTGGTAATAGTGCAGAGAACTATATATTCTATGAACCAGGACACCTGCATTTACTGTAGAACTTAAAAATGCCAGATATAGGGCAATATCAATAAATAATTGTTGAACTGAAAATTCGATTGAAAAAGAATTTATTAAAAGTATATTTTTATATTCCATATCAAATGGGGGTGATTTTTTAAGTTCCCTCCTCGACTCTGAGAATATAGTTATTAATTCATTTAAAAATATTAATCTATTACTATTATGCACCCACTATGCTAGGTTCCAGTAATACAGACACAAATCTTAAAAGTTCCTGTCCATTAAGGATACTAGTAGGGGAGGCAATTCAGTAAACCACTACATTATAGTATAATGTGACAAATACTAGAAATGTAAGGTGATCTCAAGGTACTCTACAAGAGCACAGAGTAGCAACATCTAAACGTTTCTCACAGCAGGCTTTCTGAACCACTTTTAAAATATGTATAAAAATTAGCCAGGTAAAGAGTTATGAAAAGAAGTTCCAGAAAGACTGTATGGAGGAACAAGGTGGGAGTGTGTAGAAAGGTACAGGAACTAGATCATTGAAGGACTTGTAAGGCATGCTACAAAGGTTAGATTTTATCCTAAAAGCAGTAAAAACCTGCCTCTGGAGGATTTGAAGAAGAAAAGGGTATAATCTAGCCTTGGGGAGGCTCAAGCCCAGAGCATTTTCACAGAGAGAAAAGGAAAAAGCTGCCTTTGGTGATTACTTGAGCACAATAGGTCAACTGGTGGTAAATGAATGAAGTAGACAGGAGGACCAGAGGAGCAAGGAATCTGGGATGCAGACTTGGAGACCATTCTGCTTCCACACAAACTGCACTGTTTCAGGAAGGCATGATGATGGATCAGCCTTTGGAGAATTTACATGTGTAATCTTGTCAAGCTCTACAACTGAATTCTGATTCCCAAATTAGACTTGTAATTCTAAATGAAATTTTAATTTATACGCTAAAAATGGAATCCTTAAAAACAACATCTGGCTGGTTTTCCTAATCTATTTCTGCCAGATTCAATATTCAAAGAGTTCCAGCACAGTGTTCTCCAAAACTGTGGCCTATCAGAGTTTTCTGGTGGTTCTCATTAATCTCCCTCAGCATTCACTGGGTATCCACTCTATGCCAGGCACTGTGCTATTTGCTGAAGGTCTAGAGATGAATAAGACTTAGGATCTCTTTCAAGGAATGTAGACAGTGGAAGTGAAAAAGTAAACAAAAAAGTGTCTTACATTCTCTTAAATAGACATGCCCATTGTACAATGATGACTTAAAGAAGTAATAAATCCATATTGGGGAAAAGTGAGAGAAGAATCCAGAATGTTTTTCTAGAGTAAAGGTACCAAATGATAGTTTAACTGAATCTTTAGTAGGTGCCTACCAGGCAACTAACATATGAAGCTGCAATTCTGGAAAGAATGGGTTGCTCTGAAATAAAAGGCCCAGAGATTTAAGAGAACAACCTATAGAGTTACATATGGAGAACCTTACTTGTTTATTTAAAAATGTCTATTTTATCTCATAAACAATTGACATTATTAATGGACCTTAAGCAGTACAATGATAAGATATGCTTTGTACAAAAGAAAGACACCTCTGGCATTAATATTGATAATGGATTGGAAAGGGATGAGGTGCTACAGAATATACAGTTAGAAGGCTAAAGCAATAGTCTAGATAAGAGATGATCATCTGAACTAAGGTAAAGCAATGAAGATGAAGAGTGGGATGAAAATGAGAGCTACACACAAGGCTTATTGAGCTATCAGATGTTACTATTCCCCTAAAACTTGTATCCCATTCTTAGAAGTACATTTCCTTTATAAATGGATCAATGATAATAAGTAAATATAAGAGGAAAGATGATAAAAATCAAAAAACATGCCCTGGCCGGTTTGGCTCAGTGGTTGGAGTGTCGGACTGCAGACCAAAGAGTCACAGGTTTGATTCCAGTCAAGGGCACATACCTCAGTTGTGGTTCGGTCCCCAGCCCTGGTCAGGGTCATGCAGGAGGCAATCAGTCAATGTGTGTCTCTCACACTGATGTTTCTCTCTCTCTCCTTCCCCCTCCAACTCTATCTGAAGATAAATGGAAAAGTGTCCTCAGGTGAGGATTCAAAAATAAATAAAAAATAAAAATCAAGAAACAGTAACTTTCAAACATGGTAATATTAAATCCTCACATTTCCCAAAACAATTAATCATTCAAAGAGGTTCAAAAATTTTATTCAAAATTTAGAGAAAATAAATGATTATTATATAGCTTTCCAATGTTCCAAAACTAGGAGGGCTAATTATAAGCACAGATGTTAGATTCAATATTCAACAATCTTCATAAGAAAAAATGTTAGGCCAAAATTAATAAAGGCAAGAAAAACAGCCCTGCACTTAGCTCATGAAAAAATATAAATTGCACAAATGTAGACCCAGACTAATGGAAGGAAATGTGAGAAAAAATCTCAACGTTTTGGTTAATCAGTATTACAAAGAAGTCAAAACAACTTATTAAAAAACATTGATAGAAGTAAGTTAACTTGACCATGTCAAATAATAAGCTTTAATGAATTAGGTACTGTACTGATTAGATAACAATTGAAGCACTTTGCCTCATCTCAGGCATCACAATTTTTTTTTTTTTTTAAATTAAGGGAGAGCGCAAACAGATTCCCCTACTACCACAAATTATGTGGTGGAGTTTCCCACATTTGGGGAAACCACATGGGTCAGCAAACCCAGAGTTCCGGAGTGCAGTGCATAAGCCTCACCCTGGGAAAACCACCTTCCTGATCATGCTATCTCCCCGGCCAGGTAAGTATTCAAGCATCATATTTTAAGGGCAGCACAAATTAGTGTTTACATAGGAAGAGAATCATGACTTTGAAATCTCCAATGAGGAGGAGCTGAAAAAAATAAGTGTCAGTAACCAATTTGTCTCACATCCACACCACAGTAGATATTCCTAATGTTTAATAAAAGAACACAAAAACAAAACAAAAAAAAAACTGAAGAGGTATTTTACAACCCTCTGAAAATTTGAAGAGCTAACAAGTAGAAAAAGGACTGGACTATCATACTTGCATTGTAAGACTGTACTAGAACCATCAATGGGTAGATTTCAGCCCAAAATATGAAAAAAAAAAAATCGAATGAACATTACCTTCCAATAGTGAAATAGGCTGCCCTAGAAAAGTGATCTCCTTTTCATTAGAGACATTTGTTGTTCAAGCTAGCTAGTCTTTCGTGATCAAGAAGTTTGACAAGATGTCCTCTATGCATTCTTTAAAGTTTGCGATTCAAAGGACTTAATAACCATCTACTACATTCCTAACCAGTAAGAAATATAAAAACAAATAAATAAAGTGTAAGATATGGTTTCTGCTCTCAATAAGCTTATCCTAAACTTGACAGGATTCAATTAATATGTGTGAAAAGATTATTTATTCAGTAATAAATTGTATACTGCACAAGATAAACAAAGGTAGGGGTTGGTGAGAGATGAACTTATGGAAAGGCCTCTTGTAGATGGTGAGATTTAAGTAGTCCTTTGAGGATGAACAACATTTGTTTTAAAATTTTCATCAGCTGATTAATCAGATAATATGTTGTTCTTTTCTCAGTTCACTTAAGTGATGACATAATTTACTTTCCAATATATGTATAGGAAAATAAACATAATGCAATGACTAAATAACTCAAGTCATTTCTATATTACTACTGATGCAGAATATTTAATTTTAAAAAATGTTTTAGGTCATGAGATGGGGTGATACTCTAAAGAGGGTTCACATGATAATGAGAAGGGTAGATGATTACATGATTCGTATGGAATTCCCATGATGAGACTCTGAGAGTCTCTTACTACTGAGAGACTAAGCACATTTTTAAATAAAAATAATAATATCTCTCCTATATTTATCCTTCAATCAATTAACTAAATATAGAACTACTCAGGTTGTATAAAACTACTCCTCTAAATTTAAACACTGCAATAGATAATAAGTTTTTCCTTTCTCCTCATATTTCCCAACAAAGTGTCTTAAGTAAAATAGGTGAGTTATAAACATTTTAATTAATGGATGAATAAATGATTAAATGACAGAATACATATGTATAAATTGGGTCAAATTATGCTTATATCATTTTGATAAATTGAAAATATATAAAAATTATGTGTACTAAACCACAGTAGACAAAATTAGTCAATCAGAAATCAAAGTACAATTTGGTTAAAAGTAGTAAAAATAGCTATTACTTACTTAGAACTTATAATATGTGAGACATTGGGCTACTAAGCAGTTTATATATTATTTCAGATAATGCAATAATCCCTTAGGTTATACAATAATCCCACAGGATTACTGTGTTAACAAATGAAGTAATTTTTATTCCCTTCACTTTTCAGAATAGAAAACTGAGGTCCATAATGGTTAAGTTTTCTGATATCACACAGATAGTAGAAAAGCCATAACAAATGCTGTTCTCTGATTCCAAAGCAAGTACCATTCATGCATTTATTTATTCAATAAGTAACTGAGTACGCATTGCTTACCAGGAACAGTTCTAAGTGTGGAGACAGTGGCAGACAAAACAGACAACATTCATTCAGTGATTCTTTTTTTTTTTTTAATCCTCCCCTGAGGATATTTTTCCACTGATTTTTAGAGCGAGAGGAAAGGAGGGAGAGAGGGAGAGAGACAGAGAGAAAAAGAGAGAGACACTGATGTGAGACATATTGATTGGTTGCCTCTCGCAGGTACTCCTACTGGGGCAGGGATCAAACCTGTGACCCTTCTGTGCATAGACTGACACTAACCACTGAGAACACCAGCCAGGGCTTACTCAGTGATTCTTGCAGCAAATACTATGAGCACCAGTTACATACCAGATATTGTTCTTGGCACTTGGGATACCATGGGAAACAAAACAATCAAACATCCCTGCTTCCATGGAATTTATATTCTTGTTGGGAAAACATTTAGTAAATATATAATAACATTATGGCAGAGATAATGTTTCCTCCAAATTCAATTTCCTTTTTTCTCCTGGGTACATAAGCCAACTACATTCCCCAATCTCTGTTGCAGTTAGGTGTGGCAATGTGACTAAGTATTATGCTAAGTGAAACAAGCCAAGCAGAAAAAGACAAATACCACATGATCTCACTTATATATGGAATATAATGAATATAACAGTCTGAGGAATAGGGTAGACCCAGAAACACGGAAGTAGGGTACCGACTGACAACCCACAGAAGAGGGGGTGGTGAGGGATGGGAAGGGATAAACCACAGAACTTATATGCATGTATGCATAGCCAATGGACATGGACAACAAAGCCGGGGACAGGGCAGGGGGGATGGGGAGGAGGGTGTCAATGGGGTAAAAAAGGAGAAACATCTGTAACAAAAATTAAATTAAAAAATAAAAAATAAAGAAAAAAAAAAAGAGAGAGAGAGAGAGATTATGTCACTGCCAGACATGCTTTCTACACAATCCTCATACTCTCTTTCCCCATTTATCAGTTAAAAAGAGAGAAGAATAAGACTCTGGCAGATGGAGGAGCCATATAAAGGAAAGAGCTTAAGTCCCTGAATGGCTACATGACCCTCCAAACAGCACAGAACTACAATCACAGTAAGAAATAATTCTTATTGTTTTAAATCAATGGAATGTAGGCTTAGTCTGTTCTAACAATAAGCCTAGTCTTTTTAATATAAATATGACAGGTAGTGATAAATGCAAAGAAGAAAAATAAAATAGGTAAATGGGGTTAAGAGGAAAGGACCACTTTATTTTAGATAAAGTGGTCAGGAAAGATCTCCCTAAAAAAGTGACATTTTATCTGGGACCTGAGCAAAATGACACAGTGATTCCTGTGTAGATAGAGGAAGAGCATCACAGGTGAAGAAAGGACAAGTATAAAGACCCTAAGGCAGAAGCAAATGTGTAATGTTCAAGGAATAGAAAGAACTAACAGAAATTAAAGGCACAGTCCCGTTGTGAGTTTAATTGTAGGCTTTTGATCCAAAATGGAAAAATGAGCAAACAAGTTAATTTTCCTTCTTCTGAAATATTACTGAAATGAAGTGAAGGCATGTAAGAAAATTTCGTATTTCTTTACCTATAACAGTGGTTCTAAATCCTGAGTAATTTTGTTCCCCAAAGGCCATTTGGCAATGTCTAGAAATACTGTTTCTTGTCACAAATGTGGGAGATGCTACTAGCATCAGAAGGTAGAGGCCAGGGATGCCACTAAAGAGTATATAATGCACCCTGGCCAGTTTGGCTCAGCAGTTAAGAGCGTCGGCCCACAGACCACAGAGTCCTGGTTTCGGTTCCCCGCTAAGGGCACGTACCTCGGTTGCAGTTCGTCCCCAGCCCTGGTTGAGGTCGTGCGGATGGCAGCCAGTCAATGATTCTCTCTCACATTGATGTTTCTCTCTCTCTTCCTCCCTATCTCCCACCCACTCTATCTGAAGATAAATGCAAAAATGTCCTCGAGTGAAGATAAAAAATAAAAGAGTATATAATGCATAGGACAGACTCCCACAACAAAGAATTATCGGATCCAAAATGTCAAGATGTAAACTAACCTAATAAGCCAAAGAAGGCAGTTTGGAAGTAAAATCTAGTATAAACTTTGAAGGGTGAATAAAAGTTACTTTGGTGGAGGAGAAAATGATCCAGGCTAATGAACTTCCAGCCCAAAGACCAGCAAGAGGATATATCAGAAATCACAACAGTGCAGAATTGACAGAACAATAGCACACATAAAGAGGAGCTGAGAGTACATACCCTTCTATACTCAGATTTACTTCCTTTTTACAGTTTAGTAGTATTTCATTGTGTAAATGTACCATGGATTTTTTTATCCACTCATCTACTGAGAGTCACTTAGGCTGCATTCAGATCTTGGCATTATATATGAATGGTCTTCACGTTCCTTCCCATGCCACTGCTCATGTTCTTTTCATAAAAAAAGGCCTACCTTGAGATGAAGTGAAAAGCAGATCTTAAAACTTTAGCTCTTGCCTTAAGAGCCATATCATTCATCCCAAAACATCTCAATTTCAACTTGCTGGGCAAGAGGGAAGAAAATGCCAAAACAACTTCCTTTCTTGAAGTTTACCTGGAAGCATCAGCAAATAGTCTCCTCTCAATCCAGCATCCTGAGTACCTGCTTTGAGTTTGGCAAGGACAACTTGAATATTTTTTAATAACTATATTACAATCTATAGAAGCACTATCAATTTTTCTATCCACATCCTCTATAAAATATATCTACCTTTCTCTGACTTGCTAAAGCTGGAAAAAAATATATACTAAGCAGCTTTCAAAAGGGTAATATAAGGTTCCTTCTTAATTCCAACCATTCTACTACTAACCAATATGCTAAATTAGCATACCCAACTTATTCATTTCTTGTACATGTCCCTTTAACTTACTTAATCTATATTTAATTTCCTCTTTTATCTCTTATACTCTCTCATACAATACCAATTCTTTTTTACAAATTACTATACTTTCCACACTCTATTTCCTTGTCATCTCTTTCCTTTCAACCACATACTTAACCACTATCAACTTCATCCTCTTAAAAAGTACACTATGCCCTGGAGGTTTCAAATTCCTTTCTCCATGACATCTTTAAAAAACTATTGTGAGATAGGCAGAACAAGTTTATTCCTATTTTGCAGATGAGAGGACTGGATGTCACCTATACCTCAAATTTCTGCTTCAAATTTCCCTCTTACCTTCAGCTTCAATAATTTCCCTTTCCTTCTCTGTCTCATATCCCTAATTGACTCCATTATACA